TAAATATTTATTATTTACATAATATATATTTAAAAAATTAATAAAAATACCTTCAAAATATTTATAGAAATATCAAATTAAAAACGTTATAATAAATTTAACAAGTTTAAAACTTTGAAAAATGTCTTTTATTGTCGAATATTGAATATCCATTACCAAAATTTAGAATGACATCATTTCTGTTCAATCATTAGAATTAATATGTTTCACTCTTAGCTTATCTACTTGAAGATGCCATTTATGATAATGTCATTATGTCAATACTTTGCTTATCGTTAAGGTGAGAACAGACTATTAACTTAATTTTAAACACGGCACTTTCGTAATTTATCAAAATTTTAAAGCTTGGTCCTAAAAATCCGTTTTAAAGCTTATACAGGTAAGCATTTCTGTTAGGAGAAAGAAGAGCAACGGTGAAGCTCGACAGTTTATTATATATTTTAAAAGCTAAAATATTGTCGAATCAGTAAATAATTTATCCAATAATTTAAAAAAATTGCGTAAAATTTGTATTAAAATTTTCTATTTAAGATAGCGCATAAAACAAAAGTGTGATTCTCAAGATAAATCTGAAAGTGATTATCCCTATATTAAAATATTTGGAGATTTCTAATTAAAAGTATTATTTTTCTGGGGGGAGAAAAAAGTCTAAATTTATCAGTTATAATTTTTGTTTTTCTTCCTTTTTATTAATAAATATTTTTGCATGTAGTTTTCACAAAAGGTGTGTCTATTATCACATTTCTTCTTATTTAACGGATATCAAAAATTCCGTTGTTGTCACGAAAAGAGTCAAAATGACTAATGGTGTCAGGAAATTCTGTGATGGATCTATTTATAAGAATAAACGTCTCTATTTTGAATATAACCTCTTTTTATAAATCTTAATTTATATGACAAATAAACCAAAAAATTTATAAAACTATATCTAAATTTTAATATTTTATTATAAATTTGTATATTTGCAACGGTGTAACTCGTGTAACAGATAGATTTTAGTAATTACCAGTTGACGAACATTTAATGATTATAGTTAATCAACCGATTGATGAATTACCGCAAATCGTGATGATAACTGATATTTAATTAGCTTAATTAATTTTTGCGAATTATCTTTATTTTAGATTATTATCGTAAATTTATAAATGTAAATACTTTTTAATAAACTTGTTAAGATATTAAAGAATGTTTAAGAGTCCAGTTTCGTGGTGATAAAACGAATAAATTCGCATAAAATGTTTTTTTACGCGTTAAGCAAGTTACTTTATTGATAATTTTCTCACCTTTCAATTATTAAGATAATAGTCTACTATTGGATAATGGCTTATCGAGTAGGCTGATGACTTTGCCAAAATTATATCCATTAAAAAAACGCAAATGAAGTTTGTTCTTATTGATAATTTTAGAAAGATTTGAGAAAATTATACGTTAAAATTCTGATTTCTTTTATACTAACTTGTTTTGGATTTTATTTTATTTTAAGAAGTTTCGATTTATGCTGTTTTTTTCTTTTTCATTCGTTCTCCTAAATGTATTATAAGAAGCCTTAAAAGCGCAAATAGTACAAATGAATTGCAATAAAGACATGGATTTGTTCCTTCTCGGCTCTAGTTGTTTTGCTGTGTATGCTTGTATTGTTTTCTTCAGAAAACATGCTCTTAAGTAACTATTCTAATTCTAATTTAATAATTATAATTTAAAATAAAAGATAACAATTATTATCGATCATTTATACAATAGTAGACATGAAAGAACAGAAGTATCAATTTGTTTGAAGTTAACAAGCTTTATGTTCAGTCAAGTGTGTTGTTACTGATTTGATGTTTGTTCAGTTACCGCACTAAAACTGTTATCTTTGGAATAAACTGGATTAAACGTATTTTTTCATTCAATAATAATAGTATAAAATTTTAATTTGACGTTTTGATCCTTAATGTTATAAGAATTTAAAATATTATTTTACTTAATCACATAATTTTGTAAAATAAGCTCTTTTAAATTAAATTGTTTTAAACGTTTTAAATTATAGTAAAGCATTTTAACTATTTTAATTAATATATATATTTTTTTAAGATTCTACAGGTAATTTCTCACAATGTACACAATACTATTCATTGTTGGATTCACCGTAGGAACGTTTGGATCAGAAGAATTGAAAAGAATTCATCGTAAAAAGGATTGTAGATTAGGAGATGTCGAACGTATAACTGTAAGGGATCTAGAATCCCTAGTAGAGACATTTGCTAAAAACGAAGGAATAACTATTAGCACTCTATTATTACGTTTGTATCAAACGTCCAGAAGCAAACAAAACCTGAAAAACGTAAGTATATTATTTATAATTCTCTAAAAATGCATAATGGCTATGTAAACATACATAACATCTTCTAAATTAAATTAAGAAACAATATATATATATTATAAATGTATAAAAATTGGAAAATTTGAATCAAGTGATTTTCAGTAAAATTAATATAACAATTAAATTTATAAATTAAGATAATAATGTAATAAATATAGTTGTAGATTAAATAATCTACTGCATATCTTTTGGAGCCAACAATACTTAACTTTTACAAAGAAGTCGTTTACAAATTGTCGTCCCCCTTCACTATCTCCTTAAAATTGCCGTCAGTCAAAATAAGTCAAGAACTCTATTTATAACCCATTCCGGGACTGATGAGGAAACATTTAAAATACCAAACCCAAAATAGGAAAACATTTAAGCGAATGAAATCAATTAACTAGATCCGGGATTTCATTTTTTTTTTATTTACTGAATGAAAGTTTTGAGAGCTTTACAAATTTCAAAACATGATAGTTCTTTATTGTTTATATATATATATATTTATATATTGTATTTATTTTATTGATTTTTAAATAATATTTAGAATTATTGGATTTTCTTTTCCTTCATACAGTTAAATTTCAATTTGAGTTAATAATTTTTAACTCAAAAATTAGTTTAGAACTTTGAAAAATATATTTTTAGATATAATAAGAATTTCCTAAACAAGTTTATTGTTACCATTTGAAGAATATTTTCTCAAACAATAACAAGTGAAATTAATTTTTAAGCCATTTCCTATCACTGATGCATAGCATTAGATAAATTAAATTTCATAATTAAATATGTTGTTTATTTTTAAACAGCAAACATTGAAAACATTTTAAGAATAATGTATAATAATTACTTTGTTTAAACTTTAATCAATTTCTAAATTGTTTTAATTGTCATTAATAAATAACAATGCTAATTATCAGTATTATTTATCGAAGTTTTGAACGTAGCCGTTTTCTTTTATCGAAGTATTACAAAAGTTATTGTTATATTCGGATTACAATTTTGTAAATTTTATTGTATTAAATAAAATTAACGACTCGAGAAAATTATAATTAGATTCAAAATAATATTAAGAATGGTTGCGATGATTCTTGACTTTTATTATAGGATATAAAATTTAATTATTTTAAATATAATCCAACAAATCTTTATGATATTAATAAACAATTCTTCTTTATTATTAAAGAACCGGATTATGTTTGAGTATTTCACTTCAAACACTTAATTCACACTTAAAAAGAATTGTATACAATTCATTAAGTGTTTTATGATATACTCAATAATTCAAGCTTCTTTTTTGGTGTTAATGTAATAATTACTATTTTTATTTATAAATATGGTAACAATTTATAATATTTTTGATAATCTGCTTATGATTTTCTAATTGACTTTTATCTGTTACTCAGAAACATTTTAAATTGTCTTGTTAATAATACATTTATTAAATAATTAATTTTACTAATAAAGTATTTAGTTTTATATATGATAATTTGATCGTTAATTTAAGTTATTAATGTTAATTACAGTTATTATTCTTTCAATAAATCGATTATTTATGTCATTTAAAATTAATTAATATTTTATTAATGTAAACAGTTATAAGTTTGAAAATGTTTCTGAAAATAATATAATAATCTATCTTTAAATCTCACTTTTTTCTTTTTCTTTTTTTTTATGAACTAATAATAGATGAGTTAATGTTTTAATATTTCAAACGCATCATACCATATTTCCTTTCGGAAGCAGCGAAATAACATTAATTAATCTTGTACGATTTTTTGCGAGAATTAATTACTGTTTAAGTTTATTCTATAGTTAATTTTTATAACGTTATTTATTTTAATGCGCAAATTATGCGTTTTTTTAAGGTAAAAATCCTTTTGTTTAATTTAGGAAGCTTTCCTCAACTCTTTGGAAGATATTTCTATACAGGAATTATTAGACTCTGACATAGAATTACCAGTGATTCCTGATAATCTGCCTCCGCAACCGAGCGATATATTTTCGTTTCCAAAAAATCTACCGAAGGGAAAAATACCGAAGCCAATTGAACCATTTTTACCTCCTAAAATACCTCACCCGCCATTGATATATCCAGAACCACAACACGAATTACCACTAATGTTTCCATCTCCACCTAAATTACCACTTCCTAACGTAGTACCGATATTGACGCCTCTTCATTCACTAAGACCGCCGGTAATTAAAGAAAAATGTTTAATTATTTTTTAAGCTACACGGTTAAAATAATTTTCTAACAATTTTTGAAATATTTTTTTAGCCAGGTGCCGTGGTTAAAATTAACGCAGGAGATAGCAGAATCGAAATTCCCGAAGTTATCGTTACGGTATCGCCTATGATGACGGTAGTAGAAGCTTTACGTCAAGCAGACATTAAGTTTCAAAGAGAATTAGGTTTTTCTCCCAACGATGAAGTCATTTCATTTCATCATTCACCTTTAGTCGGTTGTTACGTTGTTAGCAGATTCGATACAATTTCTATGAAAAAAGATCTGATGTGGAAGATTACAATTTCAGATCGAGAAGGAAAAGTTAGTATTTAAATAAAATAAATTATTATATTTATTAATACATTATTTATTTCTTTTATTTTATAAAATAATATTACTTTTTTTCCGTATAGACGGTGTATGATGGCATTTGTATTCCGTCGGGTAGAGATGTTATAATCAAGCCAGGAATGATTATTTCATTGACCTACACCCCGTTTTAAAATAAAAGGTATTTGTAAATAGAAAATAAAAGAACTATAAGAAACCATGACGACCCCAAATTTGAAAAAGTCAAGAGTGTGAAATGGATTCGTGTACTATTTGATTGTGTTGTAAATATTCTTCCTTTTTTGTCTGTATAGTATTGTGTGAAAAAATAAAAAAATATATGTATTAATTCAATTAGTTTTGATTTTAAATGTAAATTAATTATTTATTATTTAAATACGAATTAATTGATTGATTGATTTACTATTAATTAGTTGATTAATTGTGTAATTTGTGATCATTTTTAAATGAAATCATAAAAATATGTAATTAATTTATTAATAAGAAGTTATAGATGATATCAATAAAATTACTTGAAATATTCATTAAAATAAATGAAATAGTTTTATTTTTAAATGTGATTTTTTAAAGACGTGTCTCTTGAATAGAAAATCCTAGATAAACTCTATAAATCATGTAACATCGATAAATTTGGAGCACTTCTAGATTTGTATTTTGACCTCGAACAAAATGCGAATTTTATTCAATATTGGCATTAAATTAGAAAATCAATTCTGAAACTATTTCTAGTCTCGAATTCTTATTGAATAGAGTCCAATTGATAAGAACTCTTTATGTTATTACGAGAAAATTACAAAAAATATGGCCTGTTTCATTGTTAGAAAGTGTCTGTGATGTAGATAAAAACAGCGAATATGCATGTAAAACAATTTTTAATACTGTATAAATTCCTATTTAGATAATTAGATAAAAATTTATATAAGTGTGTTATCGAATGTTTAAAACATTTAATATTGTTTCAAACAGGTAAAAGGACGACTCAACGGATATTCGATAAGTCATCCATATAAAGTTTATTCTAGAATAAATATACAGAACATCAATAAACGTCAAGACTTTTGGATTAGATAATAATGTCACTTCTATGTAGTTTCATATTTCGCTTTTTATATTAATTTACTCCTATAATTAATATATAATTAGATCGCGGAAATATAATTTTACTTACATAACAGCTTTTAAAATAGCGAATTCAATGTGGGAAATAAATCACGATTTATCGATCTCTTTCCTGAGTAATATGACAGATCCACGACATTTTTAATAAATTCACAATGTTACTATTCTATCATTGTTTCTTATAATATATTCATATATTAACTACTGTATTTGTATGCAAACATAATATTAATAATAAATATAATTTACAATTATGTAAATTACATATATTGTAATTTTTAAACTTTTCTATAAATGACTAAAAAATTGAATTTTAGAAGGAAACAGGAAACTCCTAAACCAGAGGTAAGAGAATCTTTCTTAATCGGAAGGCCACATCCTGTTTTAAAAGGAACTCATAAGGCCACATGATATATAAGGTTGCATAAGTGTACACATTAAATATACATGGGACAATTATATTAATAAATTGAAATTACACAGATGTTTTTATTTAATTCAATTGTAATCAAATTTGATATGAAATACATATTGAGTTCTCAACATTATGTTGAAAAATTCAAGACTATTTAAAAACATTTTTTTGCATGTATAATCGAAAATCTGTAGAAAAACGAATGGGCAAAACGTAAGATATTAACGTAGTAAATTAATTTTTATCGATAAAAACAAATAAAATTTTCTTCAATTTATATGTATGAAAAATTTTTAATAATTAGAAGTTATTTTTATAGATAATAGTATAATTAAAGAGCCCACTTCCAAAACGACTTATCTTCATAAATGACACAATGTAAACTAATAAACCAACGGCGCTTCGATTTTCTGTTTTAATAGGAGTAAATAATATTGTGTTATTTCGTTTACTAAAAGACTTATTCGCTAACAATAGCAAACCTCCGTGTTATTTCCAAAGCGGCTTACTTCCACACGTGTGTTCATTCCAAATCGTATCTCTTACACACCAATCAAGCAACATTTTTGAAGTCATGTGACAAGATTCCTAATGTTTCCACTAAAGAAAAATAAAGCAGCTACGTTTATATCAGCAATTTTTTCTAGTTAAAAAATTTTAACAGCAATTTTTTAACTAAAAATTATACATGTTAGTTTATAATGATCCAGTAGAGAAGAAAAAAAAATCACACACAAAAACGACGAATATGGAAGTATTCGAATCATAGCAACTTTAGTAAATTTCATAAATACCTACAGCTGGAACTGTCAGTAAAGCCACAGCTTACTGTAAAGAGGGGGGAAATGGGCAAAATTGCAACCGAAAAAACTAAAAATGGGCAATGAGGTAAACAAAAAAAGTTGATCACGTTATGGGTCTAATTACCAAAGTGAATTGGCTGAATATCACCCAGCATTTAAATTTAGTTGACACCGATGAGAGTTGTAATAGTGATGTCAAGCACAAAGTACAGTATATTAAATTTGATTTCAGTGTTAGTTATTTATTCTTAGTTACGATTTAAAAATCTTTATTTTTTCGTAACTATCAATAGTAGTAGATTTACCCAAATTAACTTTTAATGTTAAAAGATACCACTTTCTATTGTTACTCTTGCAAGCTTTAGGTCTTAACCCTACTTGTTTGTACCAAAAAGATTTACCTTCAATTAAACATTTTAAAAANTATATACAATATATACACACACACACACCACACACACACACACCACACACACACACACACACCATACATATTACACAATTTTAAATATTTTATAATTCCCTAACAGCTTATATAATCCACAATTAATGTAACCATAAATAAATATAGCCAACAATAAATTTCTAATAAATAAATAATTTAATCATATTTTCTATTAAAAAAAATGACTTTAATGTTTCATTAGAAATTATTATTTAACAAATATTAAAAATTCTTAATAATATGTGTCGGCATATTATTGTTAGTGAAAGCACTTTCAGTTCAGTTTATGAATAATAGAATTATTCATATTTTTTAAAATTCAATATTAATTTAATTGAATTAGTGAGAAAAATTAAATTGTTATTGTTGCCGAGATTTATTTTAATTGATTGTATTTAGAGATAGCCTTCAGAAACTAAATAATATATCAGTGGTTTCAATTCTAAATATATAGCAGATCGATGAATTTTTTCCACATTTTCTACTCAGAACAAATGTATTTTTCATATATAATTGTTTGTTTTTTCCTAAATAAATGTTTTAAAATAAATTCTTAATAACGAAATCAAAAATAATTCTTTAAATAAATAATTTTCAGTTCTCATATGTATTAACTTAACATTAATAGTGTGACTTTATTTTTCATTGAATAATTTTTGACTCTCGAAGCTAATGTGACCGGAGACAAGTAATTAACCGATTTTTATCTTAAAATGTTTATTTTCATACAAATTTTCTTATCGTTTTAACAAAAATTTTGTTTGATAAGCAATTTTCGTACACAGAAATTCTTTAAGAATCGATTACGGTTCTCAGACTGATAGTTAAGAAACTCTGAAATATATAATATTTGTATAACACTTTTCATTTTCTTCTAATAATGTAAACGAACTATTGTAACAAGTTACACTATCTTTATAATAATAACTATATATGCTGGTAAGTTAACATAATTTAAGTCGCCCCAGAAAAAGTTTCCAAAATGCGTTACGTGGATTTAAATTAAACTATCATACAAGGTTATGTCTAAAAATAATACCTAAAGCCCTTGTAAAATTCAATGTAGAGAAAAAAATTACAGAGAGAATTGTTGAAACAAACTACTTACACCTACTGTATCTATAATTTTTTTTTCTAGTTTAACACTTTGAATTCTATATCGATTAAATTAGACTAGATATTTTTTGCTATGATTAATTAAATGGTGATGTAAGCATATATGCCTAATTCAATTTTGTCTATTTCGATAAGATCTTACTTTATATTCTTGAAAATATATTGCAATTACTTCATTGACATTATTATCTATTTTTTGTTCGTATATTCTAAGAGAGAAATAAAAACATGTCTGATTCGTGATTTCAACCTAAGTCCCTTGAAGAAGTCTACAGATCTGTAATTAGTTTTCATGCTAACGTTAGGCTGCAGGTTTTTCCTGTTTTTTCCCCGATTTGTAAGGAACGAAATTATTTTTTTTTTTCCTTTATAGTTTTAGTCCTTTAGCATCAAATATCCGCTGCCTATCATTTTTGTTTTATTAGATTAGATTATCTTATTTACTCAAAGCCCTATCTTCTGTTATTGTCTGTTTTAAGAATATAATTTCAAAAATTAATAATTTAGTCACACTTC